TTAACCTGATTACAAACATGTACCTAAAAACTACATTAAAATTATAGTAAGAGAGCTATTATAATCACAATCCTTGCTTCCCATTAACTTTTTGTTTTGTTTTGTTTTGTTTTCCGGTACCGGGAATCGAACTCACGACCTCACACTTGCCAGGCAAGCGCTGTGCCGCTGAGCTAAATCCCCAGCACCCCCATTAACTTTTAACAACAGGACATGGCAACAGTAAGAAATGCTCAAGGGGATCTCCTACATTTCAAATACACTCTTCCCTTCCAGTGAAAGGCTTTAGGTCATTTTTCCATTGTCCTGTTCCTTCTCAACAACCTCATTCTTTTCTGTTTCATCCTTGAAATCTACATCTCCACTGGAGCCTTCCCTCTGGTGAAATGCTTCAAATCAATCTGCTGGCTCACCACTCTTAATTTTGAACATAGATCTGGCCAAAAGTTCTCAACAGTAACCATGCCACCATCTCAACATTAGACTGCATTGAAATTTTTCTGCCACCCAGGCAATATGTCTAACACAAGCAACATGTAGACCAACTTCCTGCAGAAGCACAAAGTATAGCACCTGTGGCCCAACCGCCAATGCAGTCCTCAAAAGAAGCCTCCTGAGCTTCATTTTAATGAGCATCATTTCCATCAGTACTCTGATTTTCCAGGCTCTGACCAGAGTCTCCCATACAGTTCACAGCATATGGGGGCTGCCTCTTTGGCCAGTCTCTCAAAATATTTCTAAATTAATTCCTGAGGCTCTTAAGCCACAGGGCCAGGCAACATCACAGCGATGACTGCACTCTTGGTGCCAGTTTTGTTGTAGCCAGGGTTTACAAGGGAAAAGATTTAATATAGGATACATAATTTATGGGATTATTTTATAATATTCACCCAAAGACTCAAATGCAAAGAGTGTGGGAGATCTGTCCACACACTACAGACCCAAACAATCCAGCTGAAGACCTACAGCCCACAGCAATGTCTTTCACCAGTTAAACTGGAGGCCTAGAGCCCACAACAATGTCTTTTGCAAGTCTGTACTAAACATCTGCACTGGGAAGGCCCAGAGGTCGGGGATGGAAGCTAAAAAGTCTGCACCAGCATGATGAAGGATCTGTGCCAGCAGACTGAGGGGATCTGAACTGGAGCCAGGAAGCGGTGCTCAAAGTAAGGACCAGAGCTCCCTCAAAGAGAACCATAGGCATCCTCAGTGACAGTGAGGACCCGAGCTCCTCCAGCGATAACAGCTGAGTTCATATCAAGAAACTTCTCCAGGAGAATCAACATCACACCATATTCCCATGCAGTTCTCCTTTTATGCTGTTGGCAACAATCCTCAGGTGGGCCCTCCACACCCAGCACCACGCTTATTCAGTTCAGCGGGGTGTTACAAGTTGACAGTTACGGAAAGTTCCAGGTACACACAAAAGCAGAGTCAAATAACCCTCCTGTCCTCACAGCTCATGTCAGTGTTGATTGGTGGTGACTGTAGAGGGGGAGGCTCAGTACCCCTGAGAGCACCAACACCTGTGGCCGCTCAGTCCCTTAAGTATAACAGTGCAGTGTTCGCACTGTAACCTGTGCACATCTTCTACTTTAGATCATCCCCGGGTGACTTGTGGCACCTAGTACAGTGTAAACCATGTAAATGGTTGTAACACTGCATTGCTTGGGAGTACTGATAAGGGAAAAATCTGTATGTACTCTGGGCAGATGCGGTGTTTTTGAACCCAGCTAAATCCTGAGCCCTTTTTATTTTTCATTTTGAGACAGGGTCTTAACTAATTTGCTGAGTTGCCCAGGCTGGGCTCAGTCTTAAGGTACTCCTACTGTAGCCTCCTGACTGCTGGTATTGTAAGTGTGTGCTACCATGCCTGGCTAGATGCAATTTTAAAAAATGTTTTCTGAGATTGGTTGAATTCATGGGTGGGGAGCCCACAGATAAGGAGTCCATAGTGCTTTGAACTCACTGTGGGGAAAGCTTTGTAACCCTGATTGGAGAGAATCTCCTCCTCTCTTCTGCCTGCTCTTTGGGCCCAGCAGGGGTGCAGTGCAGTGTGTGTACTCAGCACAAAGAAAGAACACCAGAACACACCAGTGTGTGTACTCAGCACAAAGAAAGAACATCTAACACCAGAACAAACAAAGATTATCATTTTTATTTTCTTCTGCCATAAATAGCATCCCAAGTTTGATCCCTAAGGGAGAGGTGAGCAGAGATGGAAGCTAAAGACTAATGCTTATATCATTTGTCAGCCTTGGGTATTTGGCCCAAATCCCATTCTTTTTTACCAAAATCACAGATAAGTAGACTCATCTGCTTCCCTGGATAGTGCCCCTCACATCATGGGAGCAGACTCAGCAAGCCAACCTCCCAGGCCTAAAGGCCGAGTGCAGCCTCCAGAGCCAGCTCTAGGCATGGAGGGGCTGGGCTGGGGGTGTGGCTCAGCGGTAGAGCCTTTGGCCCAGCAAGCACAAGGCTTGGGCTTCATCCTCAGCCCTGCAAGGAGAGAGGGTGAGAGAGAGAGAGGGAGGGAAGGGTGAGAAAGGAGGGTAGGAGAGGAGAGAGGAGCAGGAGGGAGGGGAGGGGATGGGGAGGAAGGACAGAGAAAGCGAATATATATGAATCTGAATCATGTAGTGTGATACCTGTGGCCAGGCACTGGAGGCCGAGCAGGGGAATCTCAAGGGTGGGGTTTGCTGGAGCAGGGTTCCCAGGGAATGGGGCCTGTACCAAACTCCCTGCCCACGAGAACCTGGGTAGATGGTGTGCAAAGTCTCTGCTTCGAGGTAGTTTCCAGGTTCTTTCTGTCTCAAACAAAGAATTGAACAAAACAAGCAAAAACAGTGACAGTTTATTTGAAAAATTAAAAGTGAAGTGCTACAATTGAGTGGGCCAAAAAAAGTCCAGGTTCTTATATATTACAGGGAAAGAATTGGCAAGCATACAGGCTGACCTCGAACTCACAGTGATCCTCCTGCCTCAGCCTAGTAGCTACAATTGTTGAAGATTATGGGATGGCAGCAGGGACAGGAAGGGCAGAGGGAAAAAAGGGCTTGCGTGTGAAAGGGAAAAAGGGCCCTGAATAACCCGGGCTTGCAGTTATCTATAGGGTCAGACACCTGGGATCCAAGGTGCTTCCTAGGGTTTTCCTGACATCAGTAATGTGTCAAGCACTGGCGGCCTCCTAAGCTTAACGCTGGATAATCATTTTGGATAATCATTTAGCGGGGTGTGGCATTTACAGCCGAACTAAGGGAAGGGAATGACCTGGCTCCTTTGTTTCTAACTGTGCTAGAAGAGTAAGGGAAAAAGTGGTGCTACAGAGCGAACTTGGGCTGATTATAAGAGAGAAACAAATAAAACTCCACACACAGGGCCTTGGGAATTACTTGGTGCCAGGGTCCTGGGATCTGGTCATGCCCATTCCCCAAGCAGCTTTGTCATGCCCTGCCTTCCTGCCTCACTGGGACAGACTACACCACTGCACAGCAGAAGGGGGATTGCTGCATATTATTTCAGATAAGGCAGTACCTCGTCCCGGGCTGCAGGGTGATGAAACAACCCTTCTCCTTGTGTCAGGAGAATCTGATGTTTCCAGCCATCTGCCTGGGTTAATAGTTTGCCAAGCTTGATTCCATTTTTGCCACATATATTTTCAGCCTCCTGAATTCATGTTTTTTATGGCCCAAGTTCCAGATTAATCACCACTTTCCTGTTTCTGTAAACCAGAAATACCTGAGGCAGATGGGTTTGTTCAGCAGTTCTGGATCACAGCCAGATTCCAGAAAAAGGAAAACACAGAGGTCTGAGCTCAGCAGGCCAGGTTTATTACAGAACAAACCTGAGAGGGACCACTGTGGCACTGAGTCCACGCCAGCTGCTCTGCAGGTGATGGGTCTTTTGTAGGCTCGCCAGGAAGGGGAGTTCAGTGAGTGGGGACTGTGGCTCCCTGTCAAGAGCGGGCCTGAGAGAGCACAGTGGTCATAGCTGCCCAAGGACAAGGCTTGGGCAAGCGCAGGGACCGGTGGCCACTGTCCACTGTAGGCTGACCATGTTGAGTCCCCAGGTGCAGCTGGGCTGGGAGGGGCACTTAGAGGGGTCTCAGATCAGGATGGCAGTGGTGGGATTCCTTCACCCTGTACTCGAAAGTTGCTCCTGCCATGCCCCACCCCTGCGTGTGTCTGATGCCGACGTCTGGAGCTCTGGTGCTGGCCATGGCCTGCTGTGTCTGCAGTGTGTGACCAGCCACTGTAACCCAGCAGATGCTGGCTAGTCAGTCTAGTTTTCAGATCAGCCTTCAGGGGTTGAAGGCCTTTCACCCTTGTCAGCCTGACCCCAGCTTACTTTTCAGGACTTCTCTCGTTTGAATCTTTGTCTCTCTCTAAGGGATTAAGAACGTGGACCTTGGAGCTGCTGACTGTGCCCTTGGAAAGATGCTTAATTTTTCTGTGCCTTCTTTGGCCATCTGCAGAGGAAAGGCGACGGCAGTCTCTTCCTTCCTAGGGTTGTTGCAGGTGGATGAGTTGTGTACTTGCAGCATTTAGCTTCTTCCCTGGTGGGATGTAGGTGTTGCTTGTTACCTGCGCCTGGACATTTACGCCTGCACTGGTTCCCAAAAACATTTTCCCAGGCGGGGCAGCCCCTCCCCAGTAAAGCCTCCCTTCCCTTCCAACCTGTTTTGGTCCCTGTGCCTCTGACCTCATTTTCCCTCGGGCTGTGTCCTCGGAGCTACTTCCTGCCCCAAGCTGCATGGAGGCGGCTGCTGGCTTCTCCTCCCCGCTCTGAGCAGGTCGAGGGAGGTGTGAGGGGGCCCTGATTCTTGTGCCCTGGCTGTGTTGCTCTAGGTGGCAGCTCTGCATCCGCATCATCCACAGGAGGATGAGCAATGCCTTGGTTGTGGGTTGTCACAAGGCTTAGGCTGGTTGGTTTGGGGACTGAGTGTGCAGCTCTGCCTGTCAGCCCCAGGCCAGGTCCTGACTCAAGTCCCTCCTTTCCAGAATCTGCTCTGCCCCGAGCCCACCAAGCTACTTCGCTGCTGCTTCCATCTGAAGAGGACGCTGCTTGTCCCATAAAGAGTGACCTCTCTGTAACATCGCACTCCGAGGTACAGTCCCTCAGCCTTCGCACACCACAACCTGGGGTTCCCTTGCAACAGTTCAGTCTTCATTCCTGGAGACTGGAGTGGGAACGAACGGGGAGGAGAAAGGAGACCTGTAGATTCCTCCAGGGTCCTTGGAGGGTGGCTGTAGGTGGTCAGCAGCATGTGTGGCCAGGGCGTGAGTGCACTTGATGTAGTGTGTGTTTGTGTCTCTTCAGTGGTGGAAGGACATGTTTGTAACGAACTTCCCCATCATGTGTATTTAAAAGAGAGCGGGTAATTTGCATCCTCTGCCTTGCAGAAATATTGGGCACAGTGGGCATTTGCTGAAAATCCCACCCTCCTCCTGGCCTTTTTTTCAACTCATTTGGCTTAGATTGAATGACTCAGTCTCTGTAACCCTTGAAGTTTGAATGATTTGGGTTCAGGGATGCACTATGACTTTTGTGTATCTTAGGCACTTTTGCCTTCATGGGCCCCTTCCTTTGTTTAAAACAGAAACAACCAGAATTATCCATGACTACATTAGTATTGAGATGAGTATAATCCACACTGGTTTAAAAAGTAAAAATGAGGCCTGCGGTGGAGCTCAGGGTGGAGACTTGCCTAGTGTGTGTGAAGCCCTGGGTTCCCTCCTGCGGTAGGGGGTGAGCAGCAGAAAGAGAACAACAAAGAGAAAAGAAAAAAAGGGAGGGAAAGAAGGAATAAAAGAATTAAATAGTTTTTGTGGCTCAGCATCTGAGGAAGAAAGCAGCTGATAGGTCTGGGTAATGGCTCTTCCATTAAGGAGACTCTGTGCGGGAGTTTTTGTTCTAGGTTGGTTAATGATTTTCAGAGATGATCTGTTCACTTGAGAGAATGATCATGGTGTAATGTCTTGTGAAGACAGAAACCCATCTCTGTGTGTGTACAATACATTCTCATTTTTGGTAGCTAAATCCTAATATATCTAATTATCAGGGAATACATTCAACTTTAACAGCACTTAACAGGATGATGGGGTTGGTGAGAAAAATCCATCCCTAATTTTCTAAAACTGTTGAAAAGTGCGTATAACTTTACGTGCACCTCTCTTTAAAAAGGGAAGTTGTTGAAGCAGAGCTTCTTTTTATAGGGCTGCTGTATGTACCAAGTAACCGAAACTCTGATCTGAGAATTGCATTTGGGTGTTTGAACCCTACTTTCCTGAAACCCGGAGGCCCAACGTATGTAGCCTATGTATAGGACTGGGGCACAGAGCTTGGCCGTTGGTCAGCTTTGCGACCCTTCTTTAGGTATTTGACCCCCTGGAATACTCAACATGTTAGAACATCTTCAAAATTACTCTGAAAACTACTATTGGTATCTTCATTTTTGATGACAGGGAGATTGTGGTTCAGAGACGCTGAGTAACTCATCCAAGGTCACAGAGAGAGTTAGAGCCAGGGTTGGCATTTAAGGTTGGGGTTGTCCGCATCCTTTTTACTACATCCCTTTTACCACATCCCCTCCATCCTTTCAGCACTGGTATTCAGGGTCCCCTGGAGAAGCAGACAGAAGAAGCCTCCTCCATGGCATCTTCTTTCTGGATTTTCAGGATTTCAGCACTTCTGTTCCTAAGCAAGAAAGACTTCTGAGCTGTTCTGGAGATGGCCTTCTCTGGAGCGAGGCGGACGTGGTCCAGGTGACCAGCAACTTCAACCCAAGCTGCAGGATCAGCAGCGGCACCTTTGCTGATGTGTACCGAGGGCAGAGGCATGGGGCGCCCTTGGTCATCAAGCAGCTCCGGGAGGTGGGTGTGATGGCTTCTCTGGGCACCGTGGCTGGATGCAAGGGAGCAGGCCTTTGGTTCCACTGCTTTCTCCCCAGGTAGCCTGCTGTGGTTCAAGGCCGCTGGAAAGATTCCTTCAGGTGGAAGTGCAAATTTGTCTAAGGTGAGTTCCCCATGGGAAACACTATGTAGTGATGATGACTGGTAACCTTTGCACAGTGCTTCCTGTGTGCCAGGCACGATTTGGTTGCTCCATTATAGATTGTCTTAGCCTGTTTTCTAACCGAACACGACAAAGGGGGTGAATGTATTAAGAACACAAGTTTATTTATCACACTGCTGTGGGAGCTGGAAGTCAGGAACATGGGGCTTTTACCAGTGACGGCTTTGTGTGGCATCAGAGCATGGCACAGGGCATCACAGGGCAACTCAGGTCTCATTTCCTCTTCCTGCAAAGCCACCAGTGCCACCACAGGGGCCCACCCTGATGATCTCATCTGTCCCAGTTTCTTCCCCTGAGGCCCCACCTCTAATACCATGAATATGGATTTGGGGTTGAATTTCTAGCACATAAATCTTGGATACATTCAAATCATAGCACATATGAACTCATTCAGTCCTGACAAGAACTGTATAACATGCACGGCTCCTGTTATCACATTGTTTTACAGATGGGTAAACTGAGGCACAGAGAAGTTAAGGGTGTGGTCCAAGATCACGCAGCTAGGAAGTGGCAGCAACAGGACTTGAACTCATGTGTTCTGTCTCCAGAGCCCATGCTTTCTCTGTGCAGCATGGATAGGGGGAGGTTAGACTAGAGAGGGATGGGAGAAGGGATCTCTTTCTGGGCCGTGGTTTGAAATAGGCCCAGACTTACTGACCACAGCTCGAAGAGTAGAGCCATCTCTCGTAACCCAGAACCTGCTGGAGCTGGTCTTGGCAAGAGAGCACTCACAGGCTCCTTCTGGCCCTGCTTGTGTTTGTATAGCCAGAGAGGTAAGAATGGTTTTTACACTTTCAAATGGTTGAGAAAAATGGTAATCCACGACACATGAAAATTACATGAAATTCAGATGTCAGTGTCTGTGGCAAAATTTTACTGGAACACAGTTTTTTGACTTCTGCATTGTCTGTGGCTGCCATGTACAGTTCAGTAGCTGCAGTGGAGTCGTGTGACCCACCAGGTACAAAGTGTTTATTAACTAGTCCTATACAGAAGACATTTGCTGAGAGGCTGGGATGTAGCTCAGTGGTGATGTGTGCACAGCGTGTGTGAGGCCCTGGGTTCTATCCCCAGCCTGGGAAAAAATAATACACAGGAAAACAGGAGTCATCTCTTTTCTACAGCACTGCTATATTAATGTTTTGATAGGTTTTGTTTAGTGCTTTCTCTGTGTTCCTGTTTGAGAATGTTCACTTGCACATACACGTGTATATACACATTTCATCCAAACCGGAAGTAGAACTCCTTGGTGTAGTATAACCTTGGAGTTGGCAATCCATGGTGCAAGTTAACTCATTCATTGATTCAGAGAACCTTAGCACTGCTGCCCCAGGCTCCAGGGTGTGCAGACCTGAAGCAGACACAGTCTCTGCCTTGGAGGAGCCTGCAGTCTGGTGGAGGCTGACTTGTTAGTAAGTGCAGAGAATGTGACAGAGCAAGGTGGGACGGCTCAGGAGACATGGCGGGTGTGACCCACGGCAAGGAGAAGGGATGTAGGGGACAGTTGAAAGCTATGTGTGGCCCTGAATGGTGGCTGAGCAGATGTGGAGCTGAGGTTTCTGCAAGCTGGATAGATGTCTGCCCTTCACCTGGGGTTGTGAGCAAGGGTGAAGTGGGGACCTGTTAGTCTGGGGTGCTGTTCACCTCAGCATTGATGCACTCAGACAGGGTGACATGCAGCTTTGGCTGGAGTTAAGGGGTTTGGTTTGGGGGTGTTCCTGATACAGTGGGAGGAGCCTGCTGTAGGATACCCTCATTTTTAGAAGGCCAGAGAGGAGTGTCTTTGAAAGACCAAGCATGACTGGTCAGAGAGGTCGGAGGAGAGTAGGAGGGAGTGGAGACTCAGCCAGAGGAAGAAAGCTGTGGGAAGAGCCCTGGTGGTGATGTCAGACCGACCTGGTGCAGGTCCTGGCTTCATGGTTGCTTAGCTCAGGAAAGGAGGCTCATCTTTGGGTCTCCTTGGTGTCTGGTCCTCACCTTGCACTGCTGGCTGCTTTCAGATGCTGCCACCCCAATGTGTTGCCTTTGCTGGGCTTCTGCACTGGAGGACGGTGTCACAGCCTGATCTACCCCTACATGGCCAATGGTTCTCTACAGGACAGACTGCACAGCCAGGTAAGGGTTGTCGTGGTCAGGGACAGGAGAGGGCACTGTCCAGGAGGAAGTTGTGGCTAAGGTCTGACAGGAAGAGGGGGCATCTGTGTGAGGTATGGGAGGGGGCCAGGAAAACCTTGCAGGATGACTTGCCCAGAGGCTCCCACTCAAGTTGGGAGCGAGGCAGATGTGTCACAGCACTAGTGCTGCTCCTTGCTGCTCTGGACATGGTGGCCAGTGCGCAGGACAGCAGTAAGAGCCCAGAGGTAAGAATATGGAAATGGAGGTGGATTTTTGTGGTATGTGCTAACCCAGAGTGTGCTCTGTGCTTATGTGTTCATGGGGTATCGGGAGACAGATACATGCAACTGGTGCGTTTGCTGCTTCTGTGGGAGAGAACTGGGTAGCTGGGGCATGGACTGGAGGAAAGCTTTCATTTTTGCCCTTTTGTATCTTTAGAATATTACATCACATGAATGAATACCTTTTTTTTTGTTTTTTTTTGGTGGTTCTGGGGATGGAACCCACCCTTGTGCCTATTAGGTAAATGCTCTACCACTGACCCTTTTACATCTTATTTTGAGATAAAGTCTTGCTAAGTTTGCCAGGCTGGATTTGAACTCTTGATCCTCCTGCTTCAGCCTCCTGAGTAGGTGAGATTACAAATATCATGCCTGGTTAAAAATTATAATTTTAGGGGCTGGGGATTTAGCTCAGCGGCAAAAGCGCCTGCCTGGCAAGCGCAAGGTCGTGAGTTCGGTTCCCGGTACCGGAGAAAAACCAAAAAAAAA